CCATTAATAATAGTGACTAATTCGCCTGTCTTGGCATTTTTCCAAACGCCGATTTTGATCAAGATTTTGTCACCCTAGACTAGCCTACTCTAACTGTAGCAAACAGCTCAGGCGTGGGGGAGTCACCCCCGTATAGATCTATACACAAACTCTCGCTCTCCCTCCAGGAGACTCTGATTATAACTACAGGCTACGGCCGACACTTATTGGTGCCACCCGTTATTTCTCACAAAATCCCAATGAAATTGAATAACCTTGTTTTACAACCCGAATGATGTTTACGTGAATATGAAGTAAGCCTAACAGACACGAAAGAGGACAACGGTGGCCCATTAATCATATATGTTATTATAGGCTGTCGAGTATGCTACAGACACGTTATAGCCCATTAAGCATATGATGAATGTTAGGGCCTTATTAGCAATGCAAATGGGCCACTAAGGACCAATAGCATGTTAAAGCTGATAAAGGCCCATTGAGCATGTAATTGGGTCACCTAGACCCAATAAACATGTTTGAATATATTGGACCCAATAATCATGAAATTGGGCAACAAAGGCCCAATAGCACGAACAGAAGATTTTGGGCCCAATCATTGTATCATTTATTTGTTTATCGATTTTAAGTTCGTAGTGTAGGTTTTGTTGTATGCCAAATGTTTATTCGCGATGTTAAAAATACTTTGACGTTTGTTTTATAACGAAGCTTTGGTTTTATATATATGTGTATATATCTATAAACATTTTATAAAAAAAAAACCATGCGTTATAAATTTTATATTCTTGGCCCAATAATTTAAATATTAGCCTATTTGACCAAAAATATTGATTTTGACCAATTCAACCACTTTATTAATAAAAATGATACTTTTGGTCCCTTTTGACGAAAATTGACATTTTTGGTCCTTAAACCGTTTTTCTTGACATTTTCGGCCCAAACATAATTTAATTAATAATTTCAGCTCAAAACTATTGTATTTGCCATTTCCAGCCCTTATTTGTAAAAAGTTTACACTTTTGGCCCAAATTCCGTAAGTTTTACATTTTTGACCCCAAAATCCAAAACTTTGCATTTTTAGTCAAATTTTTGCATTAAAGTCATTTTCAGCCCCTGAAATAGGTTATTTATGTTTTAGACTCATATTTTGATAAATTTACAACTTCAGCCCCCAAAACTCTACCTTTTTCGCAATTTTGGGCCCAAAAACCCATAAGGCCCAAATGTAAGCCCAATAAACTAAAATTTATGTTTTTGACCCCTTGAGAAGTATTCTTTCCATGAAAATCAGATTTTATATAAATGAATACCATTTTATCCTTATAAAATTGAAAATGTCATTTCTTATCCAATTTTTTGTTAATTTTTGCAAAAATGACACTTATAAAGAATCTTTGGCTTTGTTTTTCACTTCTTAAACATAAAGACTCTTAGATCTTTGAAGTATGTTGTTTATTATGTATTTTTTTATGTATCCTTCACACTTTAGCCATAGATCTCGAGATATAACAAATAATATCACATTTTCACAACACAAACCAAAGAAATCACATATAACATGCAAACACACATAGATGAATACATAACACTTGTATTCTCCCCCCCAAAAACAAGTAAAAACCGAAAACAAAGGGGTATAAACTCACCTTGAGGTTTGTTGGTTCGGTTTTATGGAAGATGTGGAGAGATTTTTGGTCCTAGCAACAACTTGGAGGTACTTTCGAACTTAGAGGAGTTCTAGGAAATTAGATCATGAAACAAAGCTATGTAAGAAGGAGTTTTAGTATTAAGATGGAAGTAGATGTTTGTGTTTGATACCAACTTACCAAAGGTTGAAACAAACTTGATGAAGATCCTTAAAAACTCAAGCAAAATGCGAGTTATCTTGATGGAAGATGGAGGATGATCTTGAAGGTGGTTCGGAGAGGATTTGAAAATGTGTGTGTGTGTGAGTTATCTTCGGCCGAGAGGAAGAAAAAGGGGAGGGGAAGAGAGAAGTGACCTTGCATTGAAGTATGAGAGTGTATGGATACATGTTGTATAAAAGCCTCATTATCCCTTAAACAACAATGAGGTGTCACTTCCCTTAATCCTCCATAAACCCTCATTTTTTTTAATTTGGGCCGAAATGGGCCAAAGGAAGAAGGAATGAATTAATTTGGCCCATTTCAATCCTTGGTTCGAGATTATGAGGTTTATAGACAAAATTTTCGGCCCATTAGACCTATAGGAGGGTTCACGGCCCTAAATGTGTAGAGGAAATTGATTTTTATGGCCCATTAAGGTTAATTAAATCAATTATGGCTCAATAAGGCCCATTAGGGTAAACCATTTCATTTTAGGCCCATGATGGCCCAAAAGGTTAGGTTTTATGAATGTGGGTCCATTTAGAGCCCATTTAAGAGTTCTAAGCCCAAAATAGTCAAATTGGAGACTTATTGGTCCATTAGGCCCAATAAGGAAATCCTAGTCCATAATGGACTTAAACCAGGATTTTTAGGGTTTTCCAATCTTTCGTTGACTATTTGAAGTGTTTGTATAATGTGTTTGATGGAATTTTGTTGTCATTGAATAAACATCATGCATGCTTTCAAGTTTTAGTTACAATTTTGTCCTTGTTAATGTTTACAAAAGCATAGAATTTCCTGGTTGTAACAGCATCTGTCGGGCGTCAAAGATGATACCCTCCTTGCTGTCTTCACTGCTCTCCGCGGAAGAAGGGCGAACACCACCCAATGGCATGATGGCTGAGATAGGGCGGGAACTTAGAGGGTTCGCCTCAGACGACAAGCCACCCCCAGTCGTTGGAGGAGTAGGTGAAGCGCCGGTCAAGGCAAGCTGGTCTATCCGGCGAGGCGGAGGGAGGCTTTCGACCAGGTCTACCTCCCGATGCTCCAACTTCCCTCGATAGTGTTTGGATTTTGAACACTTATAAAGGTCCAAAATGTGCACAAGAGAATGATAATGAGGTTTCCTTGCTGGATCAACACTCTAGAACACCTTCTTCTTCTTCTTCTTCTTCTTCAAGGTACCAAAAGCACCAAAATGAGCTAATAACCACCAATAGAGGTTAGGGTTAGGGTTTCCGAGGTTTGAGGGTGATGGAGGATGAGAAATGAACCCTAAATTCGAGTTTTGGGTGCTTAAATACGAAGGAAAGCTTAAAAGATATTGGGCTTGCACTGCAACCCTTTTCACATTGTGATAAACTATGTGTCACGTCGTGACCACTGCTCCAGACACACGTCCTCATTTGGCTCATCACGTCATGACCTCCTTATGGTCACGTTATGACACTTGATTTTCCCAAAAAACCATGCTTTTGACTCCTTAATGCCTTAAACCGATCCATTATGGAAAACGAGTGTTACACGTTCGACATAGCTCATCTACACTCGACGTAGCACAAAAATACAAAATAGCCGAATTTCTTCATCCATAAGCTCGACGTAGCATAATGCTACACTTAGCATACATTGTTTATAGAACCAACTTTTTGGATAAGTTCTTAATCCATTAAGCCATTATCCCAAACTTTCCACAAATCCAATATACTCAGAAAGGACTCATAAAAATCACAACTTTATGGACCTTCATGTCACATACATGTCCTACACCCTTCTAGGTCAAAAATGCTGAAAAATATGATCTTGTACCCATACATGACAACAAGACAAGTCCAAAATTCCAGAATCTAAAAGACAAAACATTCCAAGGACATTCAAGAATGATAAAGTTGCAAGCTTTATCTAGAGTTATTCCTTGAACTCCAACCAAAGACACAAAAAAGGACTCAAATACAATAATATGTAAGATCTAGAAAGCTTGAATTATCAAGTTGGGAACTTGATGCCTTACAAACGTCCACAAGATGCACAAGAAGCTGGATCTCTTCTGGAAACACTCACTCAAGCTCCAAAGCATGATGAACTTCCTTGAACACTCCCAAAATGACACCCACAACAAACAAAAGAAGGTAGGAAAAGGAAAATGGAGGCTAGGGTTTCATTCTTTAAAGAGATAGGGGTTGATCCATAGAAACCCTAATAGTTGGAGATGCTTAAACAATATCCCAAACCTGAAAGAATTCTTAAGCGAATCATGTTCAATGATTTTAATCCAAAGAAATAAAAAAGATAATTAAAGTTATTGTGATGGTGGATGATAGTAAGAAATGTTGTTCCTGAAGAGATTGATTTAGTTTTTATGAGGTGAAGAAGATTACAAAGACCATGTCATTAAGGGGGAGAATGTTGGGGTTAAGAATTATCGTGTCCGACCAGGAGCCTAGCGAACTCATCTATTCGTAATCGAGTATATTGTTTGTTTTGAACCGGCTTAGGATAGCTATTGTGCTCCAAACTGCTAATTGATAACATATGTTAGTGTGAACCGAGTTGTTTTGTACTTTAACCTAGGTGTTAATTTATGATTGGTTGTATGCTCCACCACACTTTTTGTACTTTATATATAATGGTGTAGTGATAGTTAGTCGTATGTTTTTGAGAGTTCGTGTTTCGTTCCGAAACACTTGAGCCTTGTATTCACTTTCTGTGGTTAATCAAAGAGCATATTTTGTATATTGTTTTAGTGTTTTTAACATTCTTAATTCCACATTTTTTTGTCATTGATATCTTGTTCCTACACCTTGGATATGTCCCTGACCTCGCCAGTCTCGACAATGCCTAGTTTTGGTTCAAAACACTTGTAGCCTTAGAGTACTACTTCATCACAACATTTATAAGGTGTCATGTTTTTCTTGGTATCAATCAAATCGTCCATGCTTTACGTGCCACCTAATAGGTTTAATAGGTTTACATGACATTAAATGTAACGTCAACTTATTATGCATATATTAATCACCTTCAATTATTCAAACACGGTCTTGTATAAATTAATAAAAATATTGATTTTCAAAATTTATTCAAAAAATATATTTGTTCCTTGTGAGGGAAGTCGTAATAAAAACATGCATTTAAGAGTGTGGGGTTCAAACACTACCCACCTAATTGCCACTTGCAATGTGAGACCCGCATGTGGCTCCATTCTTACCCGGGTTAACCCAAAACCCCGGCCGCCAACCACCCATCAAAAAGCTACTTCTCGTAGCTGTTCTTCACTGTTGCTTCTTCTCCTCGGTCCCACACCCTCACCCTTCCTCTTTCATTGTTTTCTTCTCCAATTTTTCTTTGTCAACCAGCATCGGATAATCCAATTCTCTTCCATTATAATAATATCTTCATACCACGATAAACCCATTTCCCCAATTTTCCTTTTGTATATACCACGTTGACGCTCCTGTCTGACACATATTGGAGTGGTTATCCATCTTTTTCATCCCCTGTTCTCAATTTACAAAGAAGGAATCAAAATTCATCTGGAGAAAAGATGCCTGAGTGGTGGAAATGGAAATCGCCCAAGAACAGAGATCAGAAGAATCAAGAGAAGAGCTTGAAAGATAACTCGGTTTTTAGCAAGAGTAATCAGACGCTGTGCAGCAAAAGTTCATTACCCAATAATATAAATGAAAAGAAGAACAATAAGAGCTTTGACGACGCTGTATCGGCACGCGCCTCCCCACGTTCTTCTTATACTGCTCCGTCGGCGTCTCCATCACGGTTTTCGGGTTTTGATTCGGATCGTATAGGGCATCCTTTGCCTCAGCCGTCCATATCACCGACGACGTCGGTCGTGATGGTTGATCTTCAAGGGTTTGCTTTGGGATCCGGGTCGGTTTCTTCCAGTGGAGACTCTTCCGTTTCTTCAGCCGATAATCTTGATCATGGCCAATTGGGTATTTTCAGGTTCGTTGGCGTGAAATATTTTCAAAAACTTCTCCTTTTTGTGTATTCGATTTCATTTCCGAACTTGGTCTAGCTTCACTCTTGAGATTATTTGATTCACGTTCCAATTAAACAATTCCCACTCATCTTGATGCTAATTCATTACCTCAGTTTTTATAGAATTGGATAGTCAGAAAAGAAAGCTCATTTGATTCGAGAAAGTAAAAGCTTCATGTTGCTAGTGAAGCTTTCTTGATCATATGTAGGTTGAAGAGAATGAAGGAATCATTTTCTCTATGAAGAATCAGAGTAACAATGAAACTGTATGTATCAAATCCGGTTGAACATATTTACTACAAAAAGTTAATTTCATCATCACAATGCCCTTATTTTGATCAACTCTAGTATCACTATCAAATAACTTCATAGCTCTATGTTTAGGAAATTAGTAAATGATACTTGACATACTTGATTAGATACAACCTGCTTTACTATTACTATCACTGATACTGTTACTGATACTGATTATTGATATGACAGAGGATATGGGGAGGCGAAGTTTAGCCCTCAATTGAAAAGCCCAGGAAGAGGGTCAAGGGGCTCCAACCACAACCACTTCACCACTTCACCCAAGGTTTATGGGTTCGAGTCTTGAATCTCCTAACAAAAGGTTAGATGATGGAAAAAGTGAAGGACACAGGCTACCCCTTCCACCTACTTCACCTACTAGCCCTCCTGCTCCTTCTTCATTACCAGGGACCCGAATTTGTAGCTCTCCTAATAGACCTTTGGTTGTTGGATCAAATGTGAAAAATGTTGGTGTTGTTGAAACTTCAAATTGTCAAGTGTCAAAATGGAAGAAGGGGCGTTTGTTGGGTAGAGGGACTTTTGGGGCATGTTTATCTTGGATTCAACAGGTGTGAATTGTTAAGTTTCATGATTAGATTGTGAATTTGTGATGTTGTTGTATGTGGCTTCAGACATTTATTTTTTGGTGTTGTATCTGTTCCTGTTTTAATAGTGAGAGTGGGCAGATGTGTGCAATTAAAGAAGTAAAGGTTGTTGCTGATGATCAATCGTCAAAAGAATCTCTCAAACAATTGAATCAGGTCTACTCTTCATCTCTTTAGTTGTATTATATGATTTGAATTTTGGATTAGAATTTAGATACATCTTACTATCATTTCTTCCTATTACAACATTGTACTCTGAAAAATCTACCTAATTATGGCCTTTTGATGGTTATTATTATTATTTTTTGAACAATTTTTTTTTGTTCAACAGGAGATCACTTTGTTGAGTAAGCTGATACATCCCAACATCGTTCAATACCATGGAAGTGAATTGGTACTCTTGTTTATAGCTTAATATTCAATGAGTAGTTTGTTAAAAATGCACAAAATCACGTGTAGTATCGTTGTAACAATCAACAAAAACAGTTATTTTGGTGTTTCTTTTTGACTCGATGCAAAAAGTATGCATGACTTAATAGAGAAAGTCATGGAAATGAGGCTCTCTCCATTAACTCTCAACGTTTTTGTTTTTATTACAAATTTTCCCTCAATTATTTTTTCCTTCCATTTCCTTAAGTGTGGCGTTTTCAATGAAGTTAGTCCTATATTGATGATATAAAGTATTAACATCCTTTTCTTTTTGTTTTCTTTCACAATTTTATTTATTTCAACAATTTTTGTAAAGCAAGAGTAAATGGTGATATCATTGTAAATTTGACTGTGATGTTTTTTTAGGGGGAAGAAACACTATCAGTTTACTTGGAATATGTCTCGGGTGGTTCCATTCATAAGTTACTTCAAGAATACGGGCCATTTAGGGAGCCCGTAATTCAAAATTATACTAGGCAAGTCCTCTCTGGGCTTTCCTACTTACATGGAAGAAATACAGTACACAGGTAACTCACTCTTACAATGACATGACATGACAAAACAAGTTGTCACTCATTCTTACACTGACATGACATGACATGACAGAACAAGTTGTTACTCATTCTTATACTGACATGACATGACAGAACAAGTTGTTACTCATTTTTACACTGACATGACATGATATGACAGACCAAATTCTACTGTGTTTGGTGTGTATTAGATTTGGACTGGGACTGATATCAATGGGAAAAATATCACATGTTTCGCCTTATTACAAATAGGCGGAACAAGATGAGATATCTCTCGTCTGTGTAAAAGACGTAAATGCCCTCCTCATCCTCATCATCAAAACTAATCCTAAAAGTTTATCGAGTCTCGTGTAACAAACGCAACCTAAACAAACATTCTATGCAATATAATCTTTTCGACTTATTACAAAATGTGTATTTTTTGGGCAGAGATATTAAAGGTGCAAACATTTTAGTAGACCCAAATGGTGAAATCAAGCTTGCTGATTTTGGCATGGCAAAACATGTACGTTTTCTGCCGATTTTTAATGTTAAATGCAAGAAATAGCAACGTACTTTCCTTGATTTGTTTATTATAGCATCCATCCTCCTTCTATTTCGTCTTATTTAACCCAAAAAAGAAATATTGCAATTTTCATAAGACATCTCAAAACAAAAAGTGTTTTAAGTTTCCATGAAGAGGAAGTACTTTTTGTCTACTTTAACAACCAATTTTTAATGTGTATTCATTTTGGTACTAATTTGTTTAGTTTTCATCAGATAACAAATTGTACTTCGATGCTATCATTCAAAGGAAGCCCATATTGGATGGCACCAGAGGTAATTTTCCCCCATTTCTTAACAAAAAAAAAACACATTCCTAACACCATAATGAATGTATAAACTCATGCTATATTTATTTATTTATTTATTTATTTCAGGTTGTAATGAATACAAATGGTTACAACCTTGCGGTTGATATTTGGAGCTTAGGATGTACGGTTCTTGAAATGGCAACATCAAAACCTCCTTGGGGTCAATACGAGGGGGTATGATATTGATATCTGATTTGCTTTGTGAATTTCCAACTTTACCCCTTGTCAACAAAGATGTTATGTTTCTCCCTTTGGTCCATGATTTGCTCCAATTCGTATTTTTTTAAGCATAATTTCAAACTTGAAATACTTTTTTGTCAACTCCAATTCACAACTTACACATGGTATTCATTTTGTTTGCCTCAAGGGTATTTTGGACATTTGCTTGATATTTGAATATTTCAATTCTCTCTTCTGTCCATAATTCGCAACAATTTTCATTTTGTCACCTCATCTAATCCCAATATGTTTCTTTTAGCATAATTTTAAGCTAAAATTACTGTGTATTTTAGACATTTTCTTGATACCTCAAATCATCCCAATTTACATTTTTATCATAATAATTTCAAATTAGAATAACTTCTGTGTAAAAGACATGAATGACCCTCCTTATCCTATACGATCTATGTTAGCAAACACAATACCAAAGGGCATCATGTACAATTAAACAATAATCCTTACGTGTGCTTTTTTATTTTTATTTTTATTTTTACAGGTGGCAGCAATATTCAAGATTGGAAACAGCAAAGACATGCCAGAAATTCCAGATCATCTTTCAAACGATGCAAAATCTTTTATAAAACAATGCCTACAACGGGACCCATGTTTGAGGCCCACAGCCTCTAAACTTTTGGAACATCCATTTGTACGTGATCAAGCTACAACAAGACTTGCAAATGTCAACCTAACAAAAGAAGCTTTTCCAACTGCATTTGATGGAACTCGAACACCCGTAAATTTTTTCCCATTTAAACACAATATTCTTTTGTGTATTTATTTTTGTATCATAGCATCCTATTTTCATTTCTTTCTTTCGATTCCTATTTCTTATTTTATTTATTTATTTATTTTTTGAATACAGACGGCTTCGGAAATGTATTCGAATAGAAACACTCGCTCGTTTGAGGGAGACTATGCAACAAAACCCGTGTTGTCAACACATAAATCTCCAATGTTGAGTCCAAGGTACTTTCCTATAACTTTATTTAATTAAAAGTATAATATCATAAACATAAACCCTCTTCACCATTTTCGAAAGCTTTTCGTAAAGCACATGTCATTTTTTTTAAAGAGAATATAACTTGATGGTAACATTTAGTAAGAGTAGTAAATATATTATAATCACGAAAGTAGAATATGAAGTCCTAAATCTAAGAGTCCATGTTTAATATCGTTACAAAAATAAAAGATGAATATAATTATAAAAATAAAAAAGACAAGTATTATGTGAACTACGTGAAATTTAATTTTTAATATTGGAGACAAAGGGCTGTGTTTGGTGCGCCACAACTAGCTTATTTTTCAAGCTTTTTTAAGTTGTCATGTTTGGCAAACCAAAAAATAGCTTATAAGTTAACTTTTTAAAAAGTTACTTAGACTAGCTTTTCAGGAGTCTATTTAAAATTTTCCAAATATACCCTTAATTAATTATAAAAAACAAATTTTTAACGCCTACTTATGTCATTTTATATATTTCAGCTAGTTTTACCAAACATCATTTTTTGTCAGCTAGTTTTCATATAACAACTAGCTTTTCAACTAACAACTAGTGAAACAAATTCACAAGTTAAAAAATAAATTTGAGCACTACATATAGTTATGGGAATAAAATAATATATTATTGGATCCACCCGTTAAAAAAAAGGCTATTATTGGTGTCTCAAAAAACCATTTATGGATGGGACATGAGATGCTCTTATATCTCTCTAGTGAAATTACTTAAATAACCTTGTTACACGTAGGCATCATGCAAGAGCAATCACATCTTTGCCGGTATCCCCGAGTGCAAGCCCATTAAGACAATACGGGCCTGCATATGGAAGTTGTTACCTCTCGCCACCTCATCCATCATATGGTATTATCGGTCAAAGTAGCCACCCTTTGCCCGATGTCTTTGCGGGCCCGGGTCGACCCATCACAAAAACCGTACTTGACCCGTGGTACGAGATCCCGCAACTTAAAGCCCAAACGCCTAACAGATCGCCAAGAAGATAACTCGCTTGAGTTGTGAAAAGACCATAATATCCAAAGGGAAGGATAAACTTGTAGTGATATCGAATGTTTTTGTTTTTCTTTTTTGTGATTTGATGTAAATAGAAAATGTTAGTGTGAGTATCTTTTTTCGGGTGTATACGAAAACATGAAACTCGACTCGACAACGGTTAAAATTAGTTTGTCAACAGTTTATTTTGTTATTTAATCATTTATTTTCAATTTCATACATGGGTAATTGAATACATCACTATAATCCATAATAGCTTTAAATCCATTCAAGAATATCATTTCTATAATCAATATTGGTGTAGTAATGAAATGTAGTTTTAAAAAAATGTCGGTGGGTTGACTTGACTCTTAACCATTCTAAAACGTTGAGTTGACTTGACTCTACCCAGTCTAAAACCTTTAGGTGTAAATGCAAAAAGTAGATAGGTAATTTTTTATTATAGCACTTCTACATATAGTACTTTTATATTGCTTATTAGTAAATTATTGTATTTTGATAAATCTATTCGTTACAATCTAATGTTTTATAACAAATAGTATAAAAACAAATATAATAGAAAAATTAAATACAAGTACAAATAGAACAAAATATAACACAATAATAAAAAATTATTACTACCTAATTGTCTTTTAATGGGTATCGTAAGAGTTATTATGTTTGATTCAGTCAGATTTCAACCGTTTAATATCACAATTGGAAATTGATTCGGTCTCATAACTTATAATATGCATCTTATTAGGTCTTACAAAATGATGAATTCGACTCGATTTTCTCTTGAACAAATATGATTCAATCAATAATTATCAAATATGTAAAAGCTAATATATTTTAAGCAACAAACTTAGCCGTCCAATCTTGTTACCCTTGATATCTATGTCGATCGTTTAAAAACAAAACTCTAAACTATAATTGATTTGGAACAAAGTGATAAGAATAAAAAAAAAAACATGTGTAGCTTTCATATAAATAAAATAATAGATTTTGGTAGAGTGTTTGTTAGTTGGTTGTCTTTATTAACACTGGCATGTTCCTTTTCTAGAAAATATCGTCATTATGGCACGAGTTTCATGTCATACATCTCCCTTGGACATGGATTATTCCAAATCTATTGCTTGGTCAATGGAGTTGCTTAATAAAAATTTAACATTTTGTGTTTCTCATAAAAAAAATTGTAACAAGTAACTTTCACATGTTAATTAAAATTTCCAATAAACAAATGAATCCATAGAAACAAGGCCGGTCCATAACACATGGCGGATATGCGACTACACAAAACCCGTGTTGTCTAGGAGTCCAGATTTTTATTTTATTTTTATCAATATTGTATAGATTTTTTTTATCTATATTGTATTCATATCTATATATAATAATTTTGAGAATTTGAGAATTGAAACAACAAAGAGCTAGTTTGTTAGGTGAATAGACTCGACGTCTCAAAGGCTGTGTCCCAATCTCAAAACATGGCCGGGTGCAAAGCAGAGGTGCACAATGCAACTGTTTTTCTTTTAACTGATTCAACTAAAACCGAACCTCCGGGTTTGTGCAGGTTTAAAAAAAATAAAATTAAAAACCAGTTTTTTCCCCATTAAAAGAATGAACGGAACCAGTTTTTTGACTCGTCTCTTAAAAGCCTGAACAGGTTTTAAAATAAACCGGAGCGGTCTTTTTAAAAACCAAAAACCAATTAAAACTGGCCTTTGTGCACCTCTACCCTGAAGTCGAACCCAATGACTGTTTTTTTGGAAACACACCATGTGTAAATTTACAACGACCCACTTCTAAATTCAAACATGCTACGGTTGAACAACCAAATCCCTTTTTATTGCAAGTACAATAAAAGGATGAGAGAAGTGTATAAAGACACATACAATAGAGAAATTGCAGGTATAAGACGAACTCAAATCTTTCCATAATAAACCTCATGTCGTTTTTAAGTTTCTAAAATCTGAATTCTGTTATTTACTTAGGGGTTATTTGGCAGGATCTAAACTTTTAAGATCTGAATTTAAGAGGATCTAAATTTTTAAGAGGCCGGAAGAGGCGGTGGGAGGGAAAAGGGAGGCAATCATGAAAGAGAAGCGAGGAAAGAGGAAAATGTTCGTTGAAAAATTAGAATGTTATTGGAACACATTTTTTTTTTCTCTTTCTTCATATAGAATTCATTTTCTTAAATAAAAAAAGTTGTTAAACAATTAAGAGGTTATCAAATATTCTGAATCTAAAAAAATTAAGAATCTGCCTCTTAATAGAAAAATTATGAGAACACCAAACAACGTCTTATTCCTCTTCTGTCTAAAATCAGAATTATGTTTGATGCCATTGTTCTTATTGAAATCTATAATCAAAATTATGATTTACCCAGTGTAATTGACATTTTTCCTTCCGAATTCATATCTAATCATTTATATTTTGTAGAATTCTCCTTTCATAGTTTTGGTTTTCATTGTGTATTTGAGTGATTATTGCTATTTTATTTTCAGAAATTATGCCTCTTAAGTATTTATATGGTAGTAAAAAACGTAAAAAGAAATCAAGAATTAACAAAGACTCAAAGTGGGTCTCTAGATAAGTTTTCCCCCCCAAAAAAAAACCCACAGGTTTGACGTTGATGATGGTAATGACGTTGAAGAGGATAATGTTATTGTTGATTATAATGATATTCATGTTAATGTTAAATATTAATCATGTTGATATATTTGATCCAATTGGGAAGGACTAACTTCATGGTGAAAAGTTTGGTAGAGAAAGGTCCCAAAAGATAATACTATTGATAATGGTCCACTTGATAAAAAAAAATTGACGGTTTTATGCAACTATATATACTATAACTCTACCAAATAAAAAGACATATGATATAGAATGACTAATATACTTGAAAGAGATTGACAATGTTTTTTGTTTTAAAAATTTTATAAAAGGACTCTGGAAAGGTCAATTGGATAATGAAGGTTATGCAGATTGAAAATTCTTAGTAGAGACTTAAATAACATGAAGTTAGTTTTGATCATCTCACAAATTTAGCAACTTGGTTGAAACGCATGAAAGATCAAAATTTAATGAAACAACTGATAAAGCGGTGTATGATCAATTTACAAAAGAAAGGGAACATTGGAAAAAAGTCCTATCGAGAATTATATCACTTGTGAAATACCTTGTTAAATATAATATAGCATTTCATTGAACAAATGAAAAATGTATCACAAAAGCAAGGTTGCAGAAATCGCTCGAAGTAGGCTAATTAGTGGATTAATCGGCTAGGCGGGGATTAATCAGGGACCATTAATTATTAAAAAAATTATTAAAAAGTTAATAAATATAACATTAATCCTAAGAATATAAGTAAACTAGTTAACAAGCTAATAAATATAACATTAATTTGAACATGAACGATGTTGAATGTCAATTATTGGATCCCGTTTTTACCAATGCAATTGGAAACGCTGTAAATCTCCATGTTGAATGTCAATAGCAGGTGGGAAATAAAAGTAATTGTTATTGAGCTTTTCATGAGTGTGACAACCCGAAATTTCTATCTTGTACAGTCATTCAATTCAATCAAAGTCAGACTCGTTTCTGCCATCGTTTAGCATTGTTTAGAGTCTGTTTGAGTGTTCCAAGTCTTGTACATTCAAGGATAGGGTATAGAAATGAGTTTCTAAAGTTCATAGTATAAAAATTCGGGCCAAACACTCCTTCATAGGGAGTGTACGACCGTACACATGGTGTACACTTGGGTGTACGGCCGTACACCCATTAGGGTCGTATACTCATGTCCATATACTAGTTATGCCCTCATTTCTCTTCATTCCTCACACTTCCAAGCCAAGAAAACTGATTTCTCTCTCAACTATCATCAACTTTCTTCATCCGGATCTTCAATAATGTAAGAATTCCTTCCATTTGTTTGTGGTTATCCTTCATGATCTTAGATCACCCTTTGATTTCATCCATGAAATTCATGTATTTGGGTAGATCTTCAAGTGTTCTTCACTTTCACCAAGAACACCAAGAACACCTACTAGTTCTTGGGCCGTGAACCCTCATCAAGCTTCCAAAATTGTGAGTAACTGCTTCCTATGCTTGTTACCTACTAGAATCACTTGATATTCACCTTAAACCATCGTCCAAAGCAAGAACTTCAAGAGTGTACGGCCGTACACACCTCATGTGTCCGTACACCCCTTGTTAAGTGCATATCTAGACCTTCAACTCATGCTAAGTCCCAACATTAGATCATGGACACTTAGAGGATGCTAGATAGGGCCGTGAAACACCTTCTTAGCATGGTCTTCAAGGAGTGTACGGCCGTACACTCCACGACCATACACACATATGGCCGTACACACAAGTGGCCGTATACCACTTGGCCGTACACACACTAGTGTGGCCATAAACCCCTTTTATGCAATCATTTGTACTTGTAACACTTCAATCTAAGTGTTTCCTAAGTCGTAAGGTGTTTTACTTACATGATTAGTTGTATAAACACTATATATATATATATATATATATATATATATATATATATATATATATATATATGTGTGTGTGTGTGTGTGTGTGTGTGTGTGTCATTATATGCTAAATAGGATCCGTGTGTGTTCGAGTCTTCACTTGATGTAACGCCCGCAGATCCGGGCTAGTCAATTTAGAGATGATGATCATCAAAAATGAGTTTTTGATGGAAGATTATTTAGAAGGATTAATCTTAACCAAGTTGTAGTATATGTTACAAGGGTTCCGTACATATAAAGAACGCCGAAATCCGAGTTATAACGAACAAGTTATGACCCGTCGAAGTTTTACGGCAAAATTGGCACGGCACCGGGAGACGTAAATAGTGAATTTACGGTAGAAGAGTTTTTAGCCTTAGTGATCTAAACAAAATTTGTATTATACGTTAAACCGAGAACATACATAAAAAGAACGCCCAAATCTGACTTCGTATGAGAGAGTTATGAATTTTCTAAGATTTGGCATAGCAGTGCACGACCCGAAACTCGAATTTTAGTTCGAGCGGTTTTTGGCCTACGCGACCTAAATGAGAGTTGAAGATCTCATTAATAGGAACTCAACGGTAAAAAGACAGACGAAAACGAACTCCGTATGTAGAAGTTATGAATTTTACGTGGACATTTAACAGTATAATCTCCTCCTACTGTTAAATTTAAGATCGGTCGAGAATTAGCCGACAGAGTCTAAATGAAAGTTTTAGTCTTGTTTT